TCACCGCCCCCCCACCATGCTGTTGACCCTGGACGGGTCCCAGGAGCCTGTTGACCCTGGACGGGTCTCTGCCCTGTTTTCTACAGAAAGCAGCTCCTCTGGCCCTTCCTCAAATCAAGGCTTTGTGATGGCAGGAGCGGGGAGGGGCTGCTCTGGCCTCAGCTGGGGAATCCCCTCCTCCCACCCTCCCAGGCAGCCTGGGGCGGCCCTCAGTTCCTCTTCCTCAAACTGAGCCTGGACACACACCCCCTCCCCCTGCACCTCCCCCTCCCCTGCCCTCCCCTCCCCCTCCCCCTCCGCCCCTCCCCGCCTCCAGCTGCCCCAGCCCCACCCCCGTGGGTACTTGCTAGGACCTGGGGCTCCTTGTTCCCTATGACCTCCTCGCTCCCCACTGCTCCATGCTTAGCCCTGTCCACACATCAGAAAGCAGACAGAGTGGTTTGAAGAGCGCCTCACTTCGCACCCCTGAGCTGGGGGCAGAATGCCAGCCCCTCCCGGTCCAGTCACATACTCAGCGCCCCCAACAGGCTGGAGAGGACCCCTTCCTCACAGCCCTTGCTGGTGCCTGCCCGTCCTGGGGAGCAGCTGGCCAGGGCCTGACCCCAGCGGGAACTTGCATGGCCCTGAGTCAGCAGCACGGTTCCCAGAGCAGCTGCCCTGGGGGTGTGGCAGTGACTGGGACAGCAGGAGGGAGAGAGGGCCCCTCACCATCACACCCCCAGACTCCACTCAGCACCAACTGTGTGCCAGGCTGGGTGGGGGCATGGCAGGGGAGAGGGGCTCACAGCAGCACTGCTGCCACCTGTGGGCAGAGGCCATGGGCCTCCTTCCTGCCAGTGTGAGTCACAGGAGCCTTTGCCCTGGCAGAGTGTGGAGCCCGGGCCCCAGTGCCCCTCCTCCAGCAGCTGGCATCGCCTCTGCACAGAGCTGGCGGGACCCCGGGGCAGAGGTGTGGCCGGGGCAGGTGGAGTCTGCATCAGAGTTGGGGCCATCGGTAGGTCACAGTTGGTCCAAGCTGTCCCCGCATGGGTTGGGGGCACCAAGCAGGGGGACAGCAGAGCAGAGGAACCCAAGGTTGGGGGGCAAGCCCCACCCCTCCTGGAGCCTCGACCTCCACCTGAGAAAGGGGGATAAATGTAAGCGGCGCTGAGCCCCCGGTGCTCTGGGCCTGCAGGGGTCACAGAGGGCCACAGACTAGCGGCACCTCGGCCCTTTCCTCTTACACAAGAAGCTGAGGGAGGAGGGAAGTTCTCCCTCCTCAGAAGGGGAAGCAGGTCCAGGAGGCCTTATAGGAAACGGGCAGCCTGATGTCTTCCATCCGCCGCCCTCAGGGGTGTGCAGGGGGTGCTCTCCCCCCCACCCCCAAGATGAGTCACGGAGCAGAAGTGGTGACCTCCCTTCTGCAGGCACGACTGGGGGCAGCCATGCCCCATTCTCTGGTGGCGTCAGCGCCCCTCAACCACACGCTGGGCTAGTGGCTGGTTGGGGAGGGTCCTGGCTGGCCCTCCCAAACTGCCCGTCACTTGTGGGCTTTCAAAAATAAAAAGCAAAAGCGCAACCACTGGGGCTGCTGGGCGCTCCCCCCCCACCGCCCCCCAGCTACCCTGCTGCCCGTGGGCGAGTGCCGGGGTAGCTGGCCAGAGCAGAGGCTGAGCCAGGTCTTGGAGGGGCTGAGAAGGGTGCCAGGGTGGGGCCCCTCCCTGCTCAGTTTAAACGAACTTCCCTTCAGCTGGGCCATCACAGCCAACTTCCCCCAAAGAGGCACATCTGAGCTGGAGTGGGAAGCAGAGTGGGGAGAGGAAGGTGTTCCAGGTCTTGGCACAACCTGGGCAGAGGTGCAGAGGTGGGACTTGTCAGCACGCCTGGGGGGCTGGGAGACAGGATGGCCTACAGACTTGGGTCTCCACGACCCTCCTCCACCTGTTGCAACCACTGTGGAGCTTTCCATAGGCTCCATCCATGGTTCGAGAGGCCTGACCTGCTGGAGGCTTCAGCCAGTCCTGCCCTCTCTGGGTCTGGGGTCAGAGCGGAAGTGACACGGGGGAAACCAGTGCCAGCCTCATCTTTTCGTCTGCCAGACCAACTGGCCGGTCCTGCTGCCACCTCAGGCCCAACTCTGCCAAATGTTCTTGGAGATGACCCCTTCCCCAAGTCCTTTCTGAGCCTAGGGCTGGGCACACAGAAGGCACTTAAGTGGTCCAGCGCTAGGAGGGGCCCAGGGTCCAGGGGGCTCCTCGTCTTGGCCCCTGGAGGTTGCTGAATTTGGGGGCTCAGAGCTGTGGCTGCTTCCCTCCGCATATGCCCCCTACTGCCCCTGCCCAGGCCTCAGGGGCCCCCCCCCCCGTGTATAACCCACCATAGTCTTTGGGCACCGCCTGGTGGCCAGAGCTGGTGGTTCCTCTCCCAGCCCGAATCCACCTTTCCCGGGACCCCACACGGATCTAGGGGTGCAGCCCCCGAGTGACAGGGAGGGGAGACCGTCTCTGCAGCCCCTTGCTTGCTCTTAAAAGTTCACATCATGAATCTTTGGTTATTACCAATAGTTGGTATATTACCAATATTTGGAATCTATTGGTTATTACCAATATTTTGTTGGTGCGGTATGTGTGATGTCAAGAGGCAGGCTTGAGCCGGATGCTGCAGGCCACCGCAGGCCACCCATGTCACTGTCCTGTCCCCTGGCTCTGATGCAGGGCTGGCCACATCTCCTCCTGGCTCATCCCAGTGAAATCCCCAGATCCTTGCCAAGTGATCGCTCACTTCCTGTTTGAATGTGGTAGTCACAGCTGAGCCCCAGATCAGCAGCCGGCGGTCACTGGGAACTTGCTGGGAATGCAGATTCCTGGGCCGCCCCAGCCCATCTAGGACTCCAGGTGGGTCTTCCAACAGGGTCCGTCTGGCCCTGCCCGTAGCTTCTCGTCCTCTGCGGACTCAGCGCCCCCTGCCGGGCATATGCCCTCCTCACACCTCACTCCTGGAGATGCTCCTGCGGCCACCTGCAGACCCTTCTCCCCGGCCCCCTGCCCCCTCCCCCAACAGGATCACAACATCTGCTGCCCCTTCCCCCATGTGGGTATCCACAGGCCCCCTCGTCCTGGGGGCCACTTTCTCCCACACTGCTCCTGGTGACTTGGTGTCAGTGACCCTTCCCACACCCTTGGCATCCCCTCAACCTGCCCCCCAACAACCTGCCCCGCCCCCACCTTGGTCGCCCCTCCACAGTCACTCCTCACACTTTGCCTACCCCATGGCATCCCACTCTGTCTCCACCTCATATCTTTCCAGCTCACTCCCTCCTATTTCCTGACCCCCACTGGACCCCAGATCCCTCACCCCTCAAGGGCTTGTCCTCCCCTGGCTGAAATCCCAGGGTCCAGTCATGCCCTTGAAGTCGCCTTCACCTCCCTTGGCCTCTCTTGCTTCCACATCTTCTCTTGGCCAAGCCCGTAGTCTCTGACCTGTTGCATCCGGCCCTCTGCCCGCTCACTACCCACACCTGGGTGGCTGGAGGGACTGCCTTCCCACCTGGTGAGTCTCACCTGAGTTCCAGACCAAGCGCCTCAGGGGCCCTTGGGGAGGCCCACTGCCCCTGCCCCTGGCTCTCCCATGGCACCCCGCTTCCTCTCCAGCCTCCTCTCTACTTCATAAGACCTTCTGCCACCCCAGCCCCAAGCCGCACATATGCTCTCATCACCGGGCCAGCAGGAGGGACCGCAGTCCTGTTTATGGCCGGCCCCTCCACTGTGACCTAGGTCCCAGCCCCTCCAGGTGATTCAGGACCATCACTCCCCCAACGGACTCTTCGTCTTCCCTGCTGCAGCCATTTCCGCTGCTTACGGGACCATTACCATCAGCCTTCACAGCATGCTGTTATTTCCCCACCTTAAACACACACACACACACACACACACACACACACACACACACACACACACACACGCGCGCGCGCACTTCTCTGGGCCACGCCCCCTCCAGCTATAGCACGATTCTTCTGCTTGGCAGCTAAACCTAAGACGAGAGACAATTCACGCTGTCCCCACATGGCACCGCAGAAGCATGGAGCCCCAGATGCCTCCACTCCTGGGTGCTTAGCAGCCCCCCATCAGAGCTTATGTATCTTGGGCCCCCTCCCCCAGAAGCCAAGTCAAAACGGAAACCACTGGACCAGGCTGCTGGTGTGTGCTGGAGGCAGAAGCTCCGCCCTGTGCCCCCGCCAACCCAGGCACTCATAGCGCCGAGAGCCAGGAACCTCGGCGCCAGCAATGCCACGGGAGCCTGGTGTCTTCCACCGGGCCTCGCAGCTCCCTCGCCCACCTGTGCACCTGGCATGCAAGACCAACACTCTCCCGGGCTAACGTGCCTCCCCCCATCTCACGGGTCCTAAGGGTCTCCTTGCGAGGTGGGCGGTATGTCTCCTGCCACCCAGGGTGACGTGCTGGGTTATGTGGCCTCTGACGACACGGCGCCTTCCCCAGCCCACTTCTCAAATGAGAACAATAATGATCCTTCCTATCTCGGCAGGCGGCGGTTGAGTTGCTGCTCAGACCACTGGTAAGGACTCCAGCGAGGCCAGTGGGCAGCGAGGCGCCCGGGGAAGCACTGGGAACCCCGCCTCGGGTTACAGTGGGGACTCAGGAGATGCTCCTCCTGGAGACACACCATCCTCCCATTTGGCCTCTCTGACCCACTCCAACAGCCCTGCCCAGGGCCAGGTCTGTCACCTCTCCTGCTGGCTAGAGACGGGGCCCTCCTCACAGGAATCCGCGTCTCCTCAGGCCCCTCCAGCGCAAGCCCAGATTGCAAATGAGGCTTTCAAGCCGTCGAGACCACCGCTTCCAGCGCCAGCCGCTCTGCACACCTGACGCCCCGCCCCGCCCACCAGGCCCCCTCTCCCGCGAGACCCCGCCCATCAGGGTCGCCCAGGCTCTAGTGGCTCCCGGCACGTGGCCGCCCTGCCCACAGACTTGGGCGGGAGCCAAAACAACTCAGGGAAAGAGGCCTGTTTTTTAAAATTTGTTTATTTTAAAACATGAAACCCAAGCTGAATAGAAACCACAGAAATTACATTGACGAGATTTTTAGTATTTGCCAAGAAAAATAAAGCCCCCAGAGAAATAAAAATCAAACCCCAAACCCAGTTAAAAAAACAAAAACAAACAAAAAAACCCAGAAACACAGCGACAGCAACATACAGCCATGGCCCTACGGAAGTTGGAGAATGCCAAGCGGTTCAGGCCTCAGTTCCCCGCTCAGGACGCGAAATCACCTTGTGGGTGGAATGCAAGGGCCAGGAGAGAAGCCTGGGAGGGGGAGTTTTAACAAAATTACTTCGAGAGATATATGTAACAAATATAAAGTGGTGCGGCACACAAACATTATGGTTAAAAAAAAAAAAAAAAAACCCGCCCAAGAGGCCCTGGTCCCCGCTCGTCCCCCCATTTAGGGCTGTCACCCACGCACCCCTCCCGGCCGGGGCGGGGGTCCTGGGGTAGGGAGGGAATGGAGCTTGGACTGGGATTGCATAGTGAGATGGGGTGGGCGTGGAGGGGCATATAGGATCAGGGCTTCCGATCAGGCCCTACACCAGGCCAGGGGAGCTGGGGGAAGCGTGCGCCTGCACAAGGAGCCCCATCGGCGAGCGACCGGACTGGAACCCCTCCTGCCCGCCTAGCCCGTCAGGGGCCTCGGGGCGTCTCCCTCCCATCCACGTGGTAGAGGACCACTGCCCAAGATGCTGCAGGGCCTGCGAGGGGCAAGAACCACAGGTGCAGGGGTGGGAGCGGACGAGGGTAAGTCACCGGGACGGGACGGGTTAGGAAACGGCCTGAAATTAAACAGCAAAAAGAAAACCAAGGGCGAGATGCGCTCCCCCTCCAGGACCGAGGCTTGGTCTTGCACCCCTTTTAACCTCCCCCGTTTTCCTTTCTTCCGCCTTAGTGAGTAGAAGGAACTGGGCGGAGTCAGATGGGCGGGCAGACACGCACACGATGCACGCACGGAGGGGCTCTGAGCGGCGCAGGTCCCCGGCGCCCGGCTCTCACGCTATGTACATTCACATTTCGGCCTCGCGGGCCGGGCGGCCGTTTGTGCTTCCGAGCGGCGCCCCAGGCAGCACAGCCCGACGCCACCCCTCTGATCCGAGGCCGCGCGGGAATGCTCCGCCCAGGCGGTGGAGCCCAGAAAAACTTGTCGGTTGGGCTGTGGTACCGCCATATATGTGTATGTATGTGTATGTGTGTGTGGTGTGTGTGTGTACAGTGGGGGGCCTGGAGCACAAGGTGCCTTTCAGTGAGGTTTGGCCGTGTGCGAAGGCTCAGATGCGAGGCTGCGGGCCCTTAGGCCCACCTGGAGCACCCCCGTGTTTGCCTACTCACTCCCCCAACCCCGTCCAGGGCAGAGGCTGCCCCAGGAACGGGGGAGATGTGACCTAGTCCCAGGCCCACCCATGCTTTTGGTCCCAGATACCAGCACAAAGAAGGGATCACAGAGGAAGGTGGCCTCTTCCAGGCCACCCTGGGGAAGGGGTGCCCTGCCGCTCTGGGAGAAAGAGCCCCCCATGTCTGTAAACTGCCGGGCCGGCTGCTGTCTGCCCCGGCCTGGGGCCTCGTGTGGCTGCCAAGTGGCTCTCTGTTGCCCCTGGACTGACACAGGGCAGAGGCTGCACCTGGCCTCTCTTGCTTCAGGCTGGCTGGGCAGGGCTGGGACCGGCAGGGGACTTTCCAACTTGATCTGGGGGTAACACCCCCATCTGCGGCAGGAAACACAGCAAACATTGTACACTACGCCAAAAGCACCTTAGGGAAGCCTTATTCCCGCTTCACAGGTAGGGAGACTGAGGCCACAGGGACCTCAGTCCTACAGCCCAAGGGACATTCATTCCTGAGGACACGGTCCCCTGGCGCAGCGCCTGCCCAGGGAGGGTCTCCAGGCCCTTGGGCTGCCTCTCGATCTTCGACACCCCCCAGCAGCACCACGAGAAGAAACACCTCCTCCAGCCCGACTCCCAGCTGGCTATCCTGGGACTCAGCTCCGGCCTGGACTCGGCGTCACACTCGCGGGCTTTGGGTTGGCCAGGGGTGCTTTCTCTCGGAGGCTGGAGTGAGGTCAGTGGTTAGTCCCAAGAGGGGCGGCAGGGGCCAAGGGCACATTCACAGCCAGCTCGGGTCCAGCCCCCCGGCCGGCTCTGGGACACTGTGCCTGTCCTGGATGGAAAGGGAACCGAAAAGGGGGTGCCGCTCGGCCCGCCACCCCGCCTGCCCTAGAGATGACAAATGTGGTTAGTGCAAGGAATGAACCGGATGAAGCTGTCAAGCCTCTGGGGTGGGGGAGGGGTCTTGGCACCAAGAGGGCGGCCAGCACTCGATGAGCAGCCTGGGCTCCGCGTGGCACCCGCTGTCTCCTGCCGCCGGGGAGGGCTGGGTGCCACAGGCGGGGTGGGTGCTGAGGGAGAGAGCGCTGCTGGGAGGGAAGCAGAGAAAGTGGGGACCCGATGCAGAGAGCCTGGGGTGGGGCGGGGGGCGAGGGAAGGAAGGAGTTATAGCTGCTGCAGAGGCATGTGAAGGCGCCACAAGAGGGTCTCCACGCGCGGGAGACAAGCAGGCGGGTGGGTCCACACGGCCGTCCCTCCAGACGCCCAGCACACAGGGAGCACCGCGCTGCCTACAAACTAAGAGGTGAGGCACAGAAGCATCGAAGGAGCAGAGAGGCATCAGAGCTGTGGGCGGGGCGGGGCGGGGCAGCTGCCAGGCGAGGAGACGGCAGGGATCTGCAGGGACAGCACCAGCACGACACATCTGGCCCAGCGCAGGGCTCTGCAAATCCCCGAATCCTCGGAGGCAGAGGGGCACGGGGCTGGGGGCCAGGAGGGCCCGGGCGTCGCTGGCAGCACCCCCAGGTGTCCAGGCGTGTGAGCCAAGGAGAGGGTGCGGGCCCAGAGCCCCTGCGTCGCCACCAGCAGGAGCCTGCCGGGCATCTCCACGCCCCTGCAGGAAGGGGAGGAGGGGGGCGAGTGGCCACAGCGCGCCGGCAGCAGGCCCGGGGTGGGTGCGGAGGGTGCGGCAGGCAGCCGCGGGTGTAAGCAGCAAGGCCGGCCCGGGGAGGAGTGGGGCGATTGGCACGTGGGGCGGGTGGCTGTCGGGCGGTCTAGTGCCCGCTGCTGCTGGAGTTGGGGCGAGGCTGGCTCGTGGCGAGGTACTTCGCTCTCATGCTGGAAGTGTACTGCAGGGAGACAAGGGGAGGGGGCAGGGGGTCAGCGGGCACTGGGCACAGCAGGGCAGGGCCTCCATGGGGTGTGCCGGAGCACCCCAGGGTGGGATGGGGCAGGACCACGTGGCGGCACAGCTGACAGAGCCCTGGGAGAAGGGGCTCTGGGAGGGGCCAGCTGGTCCAGGGCCTGGACTCCTGAGCCCTGGCCGGGGCTGGGGGCAGTGACAGCCCCGGGGGGCAGAGGTCTGGCCGCCCACTCCCCAGGCTCCGGACGGGGACCAGCATCCTCTCCCAGTGAGATGAGCACAGCAGCCCCTGCTCCCGACTTGGGCGTGTGGCATCAGGCCAGGCAGCACTCTGCCCCGGCAAGAACCAGAGCTTGGAGGCTCCCCACTGCACCCGGCACGGGTCCTCCCCCTGCGGGATCCTGGCTGGGCGGCCAGGAGGAGTGTGTGGGCTCAGGCTGTGCCCAAGGGCCCAGGGTGGCGGACACCACAGGTCACAGGAGGGAGAAGCCTCCACAGCGGCTCTGCCCCGTCACCCCTGGGGAGGACCCCGAAGCCACCAAGGCCCCTCAGGCGGGGGTGATGCTGCCACCCACTCAGATGGGAACCAAACTGGGGGCTCCTTGTGGGTCACGGACGCAGGGACAGAGGCAGCTGGGCACGGGGACAGCCAGCACATCTCGGCCACTCTTGTCCAAGTGAAGCATGGACGCCTCACTTGATACACATGCATGTGCACGCGTGCTCACAACGAACACACGCGGAAGAGACGTGTGCCACACCAAGCAGTGTGCAGGGGCCACACGCCCACCCGGGGGCCGGAAGCCAAGGCACGCGCCCAGGGTGCCAGCGGGAAGGAGCCTGGCAGGCTGAGCCCGCAGCCACATGCCCCCAGCAATCCCTGGGGGCTCCGAACCCGAGGCCACACACCGCAGTGTGCAGATCAGGACAGACGATCTCCCTGGATTCCTGGAAGGGGGAAGGTTGTGAGCGCCCGTCAGCGGCCACGAAGGCGAGCTGGGAGGAGGATGGGCGGGCACTGGGAGCCAGGTCATTCCAGGGACGTGCAGCATGGGCTGGGGGGCGGTGGGCAGCAGCCCAGACCGCTGACGAGCCCAAGCAGGTGCGCGGCGCGGTGTGACGGCCGCAGCGGCTTTGTGCCCCTCTGCACGCGGCTGTGTGCACTTCCAGACACGTGGGGCGGCCCTTCGAGGGCCGGGCCTGCTGGCCGCACCCCAGGGCGCCAGGCACAGGTGTGCACGCGCACACGGGTTTGGGTGGCCGACTCGCTGGGAGGTGACGGATGGGCAGGGGCCAGCTGCAGCTGGGCCAGGGGTGAGGAGGGGGCTCTGTGCAGGGGCTCACTGCCCCTGATGCGAGGGTGACAGCCCAGGGCCAGGGTCTCTGTGGCTGGGCTAGGGGCCACAAAGCCCGCCCACCTGCACTGCCGCAAGCTGGCCCCGTGGGCGCTGAGCCAAGACAGCGCTGGGCCCTGTCTGATGAGCCAGCGCTGGCGATGGGCTAGCGGTGAGCAAAGGGTGTGAGGCACGGAGGTGTGGGTGCGCAGGCGGTGCAGGGCAGGGGACCCAGGTGGGTCAGTACCTGTCACTCTGAGGACACAGCCACCACAGCGTTCAGGCACTGTTCATGGGCTTAAACTGCCAACCCGTGTGGCCGCCAGAGTCCAGGGCAGCCAGATAGCGCTAGGAGGGCCCGGGGTGGGAGTGCAGGAAAAAGAGAGAGAGAGGGGGGCCTCAACGCCAGGGTGAGGGCCGGCCCACAGCAGGCCTGGGGTGCAGACCAGAGTGCCGACAGGAGGGTGGCCCGAGCATGACACGGCCTGAGAACCCGCACAGCCTGGGCCAGGGCACCCCAGGCCTGCTCTGTGCTGCAGGGCATGACGGGGCCGCCCCACGCGCAGGCGGGTATTTCTGAAGCAAGGTGGCCCTCAGCCTCTCTAGCCCTGTTCCCTGAGGCCCACCACCTCCAGGAAGCCCTCCAGGGGCCCCGGCCTCTCTACAAGCTCCTTTCCCACCCTGTCCCCTTTCTATGTCTCATTCCCAAGACCAGAGGGGACACCAGGCACAGATGGAAGAGCCAGGAGACGAGACCTGGCTTGAGTCCAGGAAGTTGAGGAAGGAAAAGAAGAGGAAGAAGGGCTGGGGTGGGAAGAGATGCAAGGGCCCTCGCCGGAGCTTGTGAGCTCACCCAGCCCCGTCTACACAGGCCAGATGCCTGCCTGAGAGCCCTGGCTGGGACCCACACTCAGGGCCTGCACTGCCTGTGAAGACCACAGCAGACACGAGGCGGCGGGGCGGGGCCCCTACCCACCCTCCGGCCCCAAGACTTACTGAAGGCGGCGGGGACTCGCGCCCGATGAGAGGGGTGTTCTCACAGCGGGGATTCTGGAAATTGGCATTCTGACTCCTGAGGTGAGAGGAAGGGGGGCTGTGAGTGCCCACTGGCCACGGCAGTCCCAGCCCTGGGCCAACGGGGCCCGTCCTGGAGCTAGCAGGACTCCACGCATCTTCCCCACCACTCTGCATACTGCCCGCCAGCAAGGGCCTGGGGTCCCGGGAGCCCGGCACACAGTGAAGGGCTCCGAGCAGGCCCACGGTGGCCACCTGCCAGCCTCAGCCCGGCCCCGCCGGCTGCCTGCCCACCACGTGGCCAGGCCCAGGGCCCTTGGCAACGTCATTCCCTGCATGAAACGCAGACGCTCCATCTGACAGAGTGGCCTCCCCGTGGCCTCGACCCAGGCATGTGGGAGCAGCAGGGAAGCCCACCCAGAGCCCGGACGGCCCCGGGAAGGCCCCTCCGCCTTCCGAGGCCCCACCCCTCCCCACTGCAGCAGCTCAAGTCCCTGCTCCCTGCAGTGGGGCTGCGTCCCCACTCCAAGCCACGGCAGCCGTGCATGCCGGCCACAGAGTCCCAGGCAGCCCATCCCAGGGCTCGGGTCTGCCGTCCCAGCCTGGGCTGCCCCGCCCGCTCCCAGCACGCCTCACTCACATGTACTCGGTGACCGGGGCGTTGCTGACAGTGTGTGCTGCGGCCGGGATGCTGGTCTCGCTGCCATAGCTGCTGCCGCAGCTGTACAAGCTGGGCATGTGGACGCGGTAGAGGCTGTCGTGTGCCGGCCTCGGCCCTGGGGCGGCCTCCTCCCCCCCATCCTCATCGGGGCCCCTGCAGGGAGGGACCCAGCAGAGCTTCAGGCCCTGGCGTGAGGCAGCCAGCCTCAAGACCCACAGGGGCTCAGCTCTTGTGCAGACACAGCTGCTTCCAATCCTGGTTCTGTCACCTACCCACAACGGGACTGTGGGTAAGTCGCCCGGGGACACCAAGGAACCCGCACCTCAGCCTGTGCACACGGACACCAACTGTCTATTAAAAAAAAGGGACAGGGCCCCTCCTGGGGGAGCACAGACGGCCAGGTGCCTGCCGTCCCAGCCCGCCCCGGGAGGCCTGAGCCCAGTCCTCCAGACTCCGCCGCCCTCTGGCTCCCTGCCCGCCACTCCAGCCAGGCCGCTGCAGGGCGAGCCCAGGGAGCCGTGGGCCAGGCCCCTGGTGCTCCGGTGTGTGGTGCCTCACACGCTGCCTGGTCTGGACGGGACTTGGGACTGGGCTGCCTGGTGGTGAGGGTACAGGCCAGCCAGGCCTGGGCTCACGTCCCACCTCCCCACCACCGGCTGGGTGGCCTTGAGCAGAGGGTCCCTCCGCCGTGCCCCTCGTAGTGAGACAAGTGGGGTCGCAGCAGCAACTGACCAAGTGCCAATTCCCAGCCAAGCCCAGGGCCGAGCGCTTGCGTGCGGTGGTTCATCTAGGGCTCACGTCACGCTAACAGCTTGTACTCTTCTAACCCCCATCCTACAGGCAGGGAGACTGAGGCCCAGAGTGGTTAAGTGACTTGCCTATGGTCACCCAATGAGCAAGGGTACAGCTAGGACCTGAATCCAGGCCATGAGGTTCCAGGGATGTGCTCTCAGCCACTCCCCTACAGCTGCCATCTTTACGACCGCCCCCATCACCACTCCCATGAGTACCACTGTCATCACCATTCTCCCCATCCTCAGCATCACAATCACCACACCACCTCCAGCACCACCGTGACTAGCACCATCGTCACCATTACTGCCACCGCTAGCAGCAACACCATCCCAACAGAAAACAGTAGAGTAGAAATGCAGACGAAAGGAAGCGATCTGAGCTGGGCTACTTGCCAGACAAGGTGGGCCACCAAGAGACAGCCACAGCCCAGGTGGGAGACACAGCACAGGGGCTCGAGGACGGCGGGCCTGGCACACCCGTGCACCACTCAATCCAGCACTGACTGCAGAGACTGAGGCAGGGGCCACCAGGACCACTACTTCAAAGATAAAGACACAGTGGCCCATGGGAGGTAGCTGCCCCCCTGGTCACCCAGCTGAGGGGGCCCCGGAGGCCAGGGCCATGTGGGGCACTCCCTGCAGAAGCTCTGAGTCCCCCAGTCAGCTGATCTCCCCCATCAACAGCACTGCACACCTGCACCCAGGGGTGGGGGGACGGATGAGACATCCTGAGCCCAGCCAGTCAGAAGTGGGGAGGGCTGTGGGCACAGAGCCAGCAGCAGCAGGCAGGGCACCCTGGTTCCGCCTGCCTGCTCCGGACTCGAGTGGCGCCTGGACCGGGACCGCCTCTGGGCTGTTGCTACAGAGGCCCCGGGAGTGTCAAGAGGTGAGGAGGCCTTCCTGCCTGTCTCCTGGCTATGACATGGGGTGTCCAGAAGACACGGCCCCAGCTGCTGTGTGGCCTGGGGCAGGTTCCAGGACCTCCCTGAGCCCCTCACCTCTTCTGCTGCCAGGTGTGTGGGACACTGCAGACGATGGAGCTGAACATGAGGGCTGTGACAAAGGAGAAGAGGGCCAGGTAGATGAGGCCCTCGACGCCATCGTAGCAGAAGCCTGTGAGGGCCTGCACGTAGTCCTGAGGGCAGGCGGACGGGGACACAGACGCAGAGAGAGAGAGAGAGAGAGAGAGAGAGAGAGAGACAGAGAGGGGGAGAGAGAGAGAGAGAGAGAGAGAGAGAGAGAGAGAGA